GGCTTGTACCTCTGCCCAAGCATTTTCTGCTTCTCAGGACAAAATGGTGACCTTCTGTAGGCTCAGCAGATGAGGGCAGAGAGGGCCAGGGTTCAAGGCTCCCCAGCCCACCAACCCACGGCCAGTCTGATGTCCATGGCTAAAACATTTTGGGGAGGAGTACCCTGAACATGCCTCCTCAGCCCATGAGGAGTAACTCTGTGGATGTGGGTCTGAATAGAGTCTGGGACTCTCTGTTTCTGCAAAGTCCAGGGCTGTGCTGCCCTAGCTGCAGACATACATGCCCACAGCAATGTGAACACAGGCACATACACTCTCACAAGTACATGTGCATGAAGACACACACCAGCCAACCCACCTACATAACCTAGTCACACATACTGGGTCACATATATACTCGGAGCCAGTGCTGGTCACCCTGGGGATGACCATGTGGCCTCCATGGCTGGAATGAGGTTCGTGGCCACAGCAGCCTGACTGTAGGGTGGAGGCCCATTTGTCCAGGCCATGAAGGTGGTCTCTGCCTCAGCCTGGAAGGTGACATATAAATATCTCCTTGCTCTACAGTGCGGAGAGAGACACTAGGTGGGGAGAAATGGAGGCTTAGCCTAGGGGGAATGAGTCTGGCTTGGATTCAGGCTGCCTCCAGCCCTGCGGCACAGTCGAGCCTGTAGGGCTTTGCCTGGATGCCTGCTTTCCGCAAGCTCTGAGCTGGGCGGGAGCTTGGGTAATGAATGGGTACCAGAAGCTGAATGGGGGTAATACCACTACATCCCCCACCACAACAGACAAAGGAGAGGGTCTCTCACTGCCCAGGTGGGCCCCCATCAAGGAGGCAACAGCAGCAAGAAAACCTTTGTCCCCACTGGGCCCAACAAGAGCCCCTGAGAAACCTGAGCATTCTCATTCATTTGTGTCTGTGGGGCAAGCAGGCAGGCAAGGCTGGACTGGCCTGGCCTCTAATGGGGACCAGATGGGCCATGGGCCATGGGGGCAGGGCTGGGCCCGGTACAGAGGCAGCTTCAATAGGAAGGGGAAGTCAGAGGGACCTGGAGGAAGGAAGCCCTCACTCACCCCTACCCAGCAGGGCGTGAGTCTACTGCAGAGTCATCCAAGCCACTGCTCCTCCCACAGCCACCCAGGCAGCAGCCTTTCTAGGTCTGAACTCAGTGGTTAGGGCACACATGGTGACCTCCGTCTTGATTTGAGTCCCAGCTCTATCACTCATTAACTGAGCAAGTCACTTCCCCTTTGAACCTCTGTTTCTTCATCTGCGAAATGGAGCATGTGATGATCTCTAAATCGTAAGTTCCATGTGGGGATAAAATAAGATAGTTGCATACAAAGCACTTAGCATAGTGCCTGCCACACAGCAAAAGCTCATTGGATACATAGCGGTCATGGGCATTCCTGAGCCCCTTTCCTGGTTTTCCCCTCTCTGTGTGTGGTGCAGCTGGTACCACGTGCTCGCGCTCTCTGAGTACCTGCCAGCTGCTGATCTGTTGTTGAAGCTTTAGTTGGATTAGTGAGCAGAATGCGGGTAGCTGTTTCCTTGCTCATCAGCTCCCACATGACTATGGTCAGAATGTGGGACACTCAGCTTGGATGGAGGTGGGTGCTGAGTCCAGATGAGCAGATGGCGCCTTCCAGAAGCCAAGCTCCAGATCTCTGCTTGTCTGGAGAGAACAGGCTGAGTGTGCGAGGGCTGCCTGCTCCACCTGGCTTACCTTAACCCATCACCTGGTTCTCAGCTTAAAAGCCACCCTCTCCAGGAAACCTTTCCTTATCACTCTTCTTCCTCTACTCTGGGCTGCGCCAAGTGCTTCCTGTGTTCCCATGTGAGGCCTGAGAGGAGAATCTCCTATAACCCTACGTGGAAGGTGGGCCTGAAGCTCCTGTTGGCCCCGTGGCATCCCATGTGGGGGTGCGTGCCAGGGTATCTGGTGCTGGTCTTAGGGCCGACTGTGGTTTTCTCCTCCTCTTGATGGCTCCAGCTGGGCCCACCCTCCTCCCCCCTGCAGGCAGAGGGTGGGAACAGTGTGGGACAATGGGCCCTCTGTCTGTGTTACTGAGGATACAGTCCTGCAGGGGCTGGGTGGGGGTGTTTCTTTCGCCACCCATGGAGCTCATGACCTTTTAAGTACAAAAGGCGGGCAACAGCTGAGGGGCTGCCCTGTTGCTTGTGGAAAATCCCTTCACTTCCAGCCTCAGCAGCCTGGTCCTAGAAGAGGTCAGTAAGGGAAAGTGGGGGTAAGGGGAGTTGCTCCACAGCCCTCAGCCCTTGAGGCCCACTGGCCCTGAGCCTCTCTTGGAGACGGAACAGAGCAAGCTCAGGCCCCTTTTCCCTATCCATCCTGGTATGAGCCTCATACATGAGCTGGCTGGGGGGCTGTGCTATGCTGCTTCCCTCTGCCTGGCCCATGTCAAGTGTGACTGATTTGTCTATGTGTTCTCCCCTACACACCCCCACCCCTGCTCCCATGGGCCTCGGGTTCATAGGACTACCAGAGCAAGCTTCTGAGACACAGGTGTGGCCATGAGTCTCTGCAAGAACAGCTGACATCCTGGATAGAGGAAACCAAGAGCCTCTTTGTTACCCTGCCCCATCACCTCACTCCTCACCTCTCCCCTCCCACATCCTGGGACCTTTCTTTCCTCTGAACCTGTGGTGTACAGACTCACCTTTGGGCTTTTGTATATGCATCCTAGCCCACTTCCTCTTTCCACGCTTTCCTGCCTTATTCTTCCCCCTTCAGGTCTTGGCTTGGATACCCCTGCCCCTCTGATCCCTTGATAGAGTCATGTGGAATCCTTAGACCCCTGGCTTCTGCCATTCCAGAAGTGCTAAGTGTCTCACTCCTTCCAGAACAGGCACTCCCTGGCATGTGAAAAGCATCTGGCCTCAGGGATGCCAGCAAAGGCAAAGTAGGAAACAAATGACAGAGCAAGATGAGGACGGGGATAGACGGCGAAGGAGAGGTCACAGCAGATCCTTTCTTCCATGTGAAGCCTCCATGGCAAGTGTAGACACAAGCAGGCTCAGGAGGCTGTGGCCCCATGTGCTGGGATTCACGGTTCTGGCTCCATCACACACCAGTCCAATCTCTACCTTGCCCAAACTATGTGGCACAGAGATGTTGAGCTAGCTCTGGATATCTCAGTCTTGCCAACTGGCTGCCCCTTAATCCCATGGCCAAAAAGAGGCTGTAGAGCAGCCTTGAGGACAGCACCATGGCTGTGACTCTTGTCATACACAAAGAGGTGTATGACAAGATCAGGTGGGCCTTCAGTCTGAGGCCTGCTACATGCAGTCACAGGACAGCCAGGAGAAAATTTCAGCCTTGTATAGGGCAAGGAAGTGTCTAACATTCTAAGGTCAGCCCTATGGCCTGAGGTTGGTTCCAGCTGGGTGGGTACCCAAGGCTAGGATGAAATACAAGAGTGCCCCATTGCCTGAGGTCAGTCCACAGCCCGAGGTTGTCGCCCAGTCTGCCCCCAAACCTGGTGACTTCTTCCTGGTCTGGCATCACTGGGCACCAGAGTGAAACCCAGCTAGGTGAGTGGCAGCTCTGAGCCAAGGCCTAGCCCAGTCCCTCCCCACCACAGACACCTTAGTCCCAAAATCCAGGAGTGCCTGGAGTACAGACAGAGCTCCCAACATGTGCCCATCACCTGGGGAGCACAGGATGGGGCATGGGCATGAGCATGGCCCAGACAAGCCTTCTGCTTCAGTCTGGCCTGGGGACCCGAGAGCCTTGGTGAGGACATCCAATGCAATTAAACCTGTGGACCAGGCCTGGCCCTCCTTCCCTGGGCTTGCTCTGAGTCTTTACATACCTGGATCTCGGGATCGATGTGGATCCTGTGTGCCTGAGCCTTGCTATCTTCTGGGGCACTGGACCAGCTCCTGCCTTCAGGCCTGTGGCAAGAATTAGGATGGTCAGATATATCTGCTTACTATGCCTGGGAACTAAGACCAAAAAGGGCTGTGTTCTGGGCCCAGAGCCATCTAGGACAAGGCCTGGCACCCTGTACAGAGAAGGACATTACCCCAGTGCTTTCTCCTGCACCAGAGTGGTGGTCATTGTGGCAAGGAAACATGATTTTAGATTTGCAACCCACCTGGGATGGGGCTGTGTGTCCCTTCCCTACCAGCTGCTCCATCCCTCTCTGGTCTGACTCCTAGAGAAGAAGCTGTAGCTCCCCCACACTTCTATCCTCTCTGTGGCCTACATAAATAAGCTCAGCAAAAAGAAGGCCACCTCATGACAGAGTGATCCAGGCCGGGCCTGGGGGTCAGGCATCCCTGGGCTGTGAGGGAGGTGGAATAGAGGCTCTAAGGGGTGCGCCTCCCTCCTGCTGATGCCGGCAGAGTCATCACCAATGTCTGCCCAGCCCAGATGGGAAACAGGCCATTAGGAAATTCCTGCTTCACCATAGAAACCAAAAGCCAAACACCACTCAGGAGGAGAAAAACATCATAAACCTGCCCTAAGCAGGGCAGACGGACCCAGAGGCTACTGGCCTGGGGCCCAGTCCTGCCACTCAGTAGCCCCGTGGGAAGGCAGGCCAGGAGAGGAGGGTGCATGGACTTTGGACTGGCCAATGGGTATGAAGTGAGGCTAGTTAGACCAAAGGGTAATAATGTCCCTACTCTACCCCAAAAGCTTCTTGGGGTTTCTCCTTCCTATCCACCTCCTGGGGTTTCTTGAGGTCTTAACCCCGGGCCAGCAGCTCAACCCTACCTCCCTCCCCCACTCAGCAGGCCTGCAGTCCACACCCACTCTGCACTTCCTCACCTTTACCCATTCCTTGGCTCCCTGAAAACTACCTCTCTCCCCCACAGCCTTCTGGAGGTCTGTGGCACCAACCTCTGCTGCCCTAGGACAACACCACCACTACTGGCATCTGGTTCTAGCCCTCTCAGCCAGGCTACCTAGTGAATGCCCCAACTCACAGCTCTCACTGTGGCCTCCACCAACTGAGAACTCTGCAGGGACAAACCTAGGTCATCTCGTCTGGCTATCTCACTTATAATTCCCTGGAGTTCCGCCCAGAAGAGAAGTACAAATCTAAGGTCAGAAGGTCAAAGGGCACAAAGTCCCCAGAGCCATGAGGGTGGCTCAAGGCATCAAATCAGAATGAAGGGCTTATTCATGTGTCAACCTGCACCTTCAGGCCTTCAATTCAGGCTGGGCAGGTGACTCCATCTGCCATCTTTAAGCAAAGTGACAGCCAAAGGGTGGGCTCTGCAAAAGCATCTTGTACTGAGCATAATGGGCAACAGAGGCCCCACCAGAGGCCCCAGGGTTGGAGCTGACACCAGGAAAGTCCTGGATCTACAGAACATGCCCAGAAAGTGGGGATTAGCTTGAATTGTTGGACACATGGCTTTGAGTTCCAGACAAAATAAGCATAGCAGGGAAGCTGGGCATTTACTTCACTTTTCATCCTATGGAGAAGTTGGTAGAGAGTGAAAACCTTCTGTACGCAAGAGGCCAGGTAGGGAACCTGGTCTGGGTAGAGCCCATGTTGGGGGGTCCTTGAGGCCCAAACATAGCATAGGTCCTTGCAGGATAGAGAGCAGAGTCAGGGGCCTTGCAGGTGAGAAGGTGCCCAGGAGAAGAGGTGCTGGCCTAGAGGGTCATCGGGACCCCCATGTATTGATCCCCTGAATCAGCATGTGTGATGTTTGAGGACAGAGGGCCTGAGGACCGGACCCTAGGTTTTCACCCTGACCGAGAAGACTTGGTAGGTCATTATCACTCAATCCCCAGATCACAAGAAAGTCCCCATTTTGGAGTTTGGAGCTGAGGAAGCTAAGGGCTCTGAGATTAAATCCCTTACTGGAAGACAGCAGTTCCCAAGTGCAGAGCTGGGACAGGAATTGTGATAGAGAATGTGCTCGCACCTGCTCCATGGTCAGGCAGCATCTGGAGACCAAAATGCCCAGAGTGGAACAGGTCAGTGGGCCCTGGGCTCCATCCATGCCTGGCTTGGAACAAATGACCAGGGAAGGAAGGAAGGAAGGGGGCCCGCAACCCTGCCCTGACATCATTGCCTCTGGGAACCTCCTGACTCAGGTTCTCTGTAAGCCTCCCTGACTCCCCCTCCTCTAGCCCTGGCCCCAATATCACCAGGGCTTCCCTTATTCAGCCATGAGAGTCAAGTCCGGAGGTGAGTCAGGGCCCAGGAACCCAGCCAAGTGGGGTGGCCTCAGAGGCCATGCGTGGGCAGAGCAGCGCTGACGTTTCCCCGGGCTAGCCTGTACCTCTGTCTGGGAGAGGATGATGAACATGATCCTGCTTTATGGAGAAAACTCAGGCTCACAGAGGTCATCTGGGGTACCTAAGATCCCAGAGTCCAAATGAGGACCAGCTCTGCTGAACTCCCAGGCTGGGGCTTCTTCACTCTGGGCCAGGTGGAGTGCACAAGGCCTGGACGTACAGCTCGACCCAGTTAGCACCGAGAGCACAGCTGGGGGCCTGACCCCAATATGGCCCTGGGCCAGACACAAACGGGGGCTACTTCAGAAGCTTTCCCACCATGTTTAATGGCTCCAGGCTGATGGATCACCCTCTCCCTGCCATCTCTAAGGCATGGTTAGCTGTACTGTGATTTGTCCACAGGAGTCATGGAAAGTCCCTGTTATCAGTGAAAGTGGCAGAGCTCAGCAGTTAATGTCTGACTTCTCTAGATCCAGGCAAGACAGGGAGCAGGGAGATCTCACTCAGCCACCACCTAGCAGACTGACATCAGAGCCAAGCAAAGACCCAGGGCTGAGCAAGGCAGGGGACGCCCCAGGTGGACCTTCCATCCTAGACCATTTATAGGGCACAGATGGTGTTTGGTGACTCCCAGTCCTCCTCTTCATGAAGGGCTGTGTAACATTACACAGTCCACGGCATCCAGATATAACTAGGGCAGAGACATGGGCCATAGTGGGGACAGCTGAGGCACAACAGCTATGGGGCTGTCAGGAGTGGTCAGCAGCCAAGTAGGAGTGGAGTTTTTGGGAGTGAGAAAGACCTGAGGTCAAATTTTACTTCCCAACTCCCTCGCTGTGTGACTTTGAGCACCCTCTAGTCTTTCTGAGCCTCAGTTGTCTCATCTGTAGAGTGAGGACTATATTAGGTTTTACTTTATCAAGTTGAATTGAGGGTTAAATGAGGCATTGCCCAAGAAACCTCTTTGAAATGGTCATTACGCTGGTTACTTAGGGGCGGTGAAAGGATTGAAGTCACCCCTCCGGAGGCTACCCAAGGTCTTATTTCAGTCCTGATTTTGGGCTGAAGTCCCCCAACACACTTCCAGCCCTGAGTTAAAAGGGGGCTTTTTCCTTTCTCAAGCCACCCCCATCTCCAGCGCCTGCCAGGCCCCTGTGAAAGCACTGCTCCTTAGGACCGGGGTGCCTGGGAGCTGTAGCAGAGCGGCTGTGAGGCCCAGCTCACCCAGGATGCTGACCACTATAACTTATCCCCCCTAAATCACTCTGCTTTCCAATTCTCTTGGCCCAGCCTGCCCTCCGCGTACCTGCTCACGGAGAGGGTGAGGTGGTCGTGGCAGCCCTTGATGCGGTTCTGCGCCTCCAGGTGTGTCATGAGCTCTGTGCTCTCACCATTGATGGCCTGAATCAGGTCTCCAGGGCACAGGGCAGCCAGTGCAGCCTTGCTGCCAGCATGGACCTGTGAGTGGACAAGCCAGATGGCAGGACATTGGTCACTATGTGGCCTGGCTGCAACCTCTGCTCTAAAATCCCCAACTCCAGTACCTGGAGGCCTGGTGGGTGTTAGGGCATAAGAGGGGCTTTCTCTGGGCTGGGACAAGTGGGATGTTACTCTTGCAGCCTGCATATATGCCCAAGGATGTGCAAGGGACACACAGGGATACATGTGCTCCTAGATACATACAAAGCCCGGACATTTCACAAATACATAGACAGTGTCCTACCCAGTCAGATCACATAGCAGTCCCTTGAGGGACATTCAAACCCTTAATGACCTTGGCTCCCTACCTGTTTCCTCTCATGCCCACCACACATTCGCCTACACCCACTCACACTCTATCTAGATCATCTGAATGTTCAGAGGGCACACAGGGGCACCAGGCGTCTCTCACCTCCACACTTCCGCAGATGCTGTTCTCTTTCCCTGAAACATTCTTTCCTTTGACCCCAAATCCTAATTACCAGCCTACTCCTTCTCACCCTTCAGGTCTCAGCAGAGGCCTTTTCCCCTGGGAGTCTCTCCTCTGGGCTCTCACAGTACCCTGTGCATCCCCTGTACCACTCTGTTTCCTTAACATTGTTAGTGCCTCACTTTAGGTCTGGGTCATCACCTTCCCAGGTATATCCAGGGCCACCTACTTCTAGTTGCCAGCCTGCATTCCTGGGTCACAATTTCATCCTCACTTCCTCTGTAGGATAGGCACTCACTCAGGCCACCTTGGTGTCACTACTGACCCCAGAGGATCAAGTGGTATCCACAGCTGAAGCCTCTTAGCATGCTGGTCCCCTGATGAGGGCCACTTGAGGTTGGGGACAGGCTCACAGGGAGGCATGAATAGGCAGCCCAGGGAACCCCTCACCCTGTCCCCAGTCTTTGGAAATGGACGTTAGGCACCCTCATTCCTACCCAGTCTCTCCAGCAGTGACCTGCTGTGGCTCAAGAGCTGCCAGTCACCCTGTTCCTATTGGTGGGGGGTGGGAGCTTCTGGAAACCTGTCCAGGTTCAGCTTAGCTGGTCTCAGTAGTGAGTGGACAAAGCTGAGGTGCTGGCAGCTCCTTGGCTGGAGTCCTGGTGTGAGTGCTGCCAGAGCTGACCTACCCTGAAATAGGCTGCTCCAAGGAATGTTCTAGGGTATCACACCCGCAGCCACCTGCCCCCATTAATGTTCACTCCTAGGGCCTGGGTACCTGCACAGGCTTGTCCTCCTAGGGGAAGCGCCCAGGTGGACCCATCCCACCCTCCCCTCAAGGCCCTGCCCAGGCCCCCTCTCCTTCATGGATACCTGCTCTGTGACATGGCCTAGGTTCAGTGCTTTACCCATAATTAGCTCGTGGCAACCTTTCAAGCACCTGGTGAGACAGAGGCATTGTCATCCGCATTTACAGACAAAGAAAGAGAGACTTGGGGGGAGGGGCACCTCACCCAGTCCCCAGACTGGAGAGGAGTCTTCTTCCTCAGGGGGGCCCATAGCTGCAGGATGACTCAGCCAGCACAAGGGCACATTCAGGCCCCTGTGGGTGGGGGGAAGTTCTCGAAAGCAGAGGTGGCTGAAACTCCTGCCAGCTCCACTAGCTCGGAGAGTTCTGGTCAGAGAGGGCGTGAGGCCAGGAAATGGTGACTCTCCCAACTGACTTTCCATGCATTGTCTCATTAATCCTGAAGGCAAGCCCATTTGCTAGGTGAGATAACCGAGGTCGGGAGAAGTACAGAAGGATACTCAATTGATAAATGGGAGTTAGGATTTCAATCCAGGTCAACTGGTTCCAACTCCTATGCTGGTAACTACTGTGTGCTTTTCTGAAAAAAGGGAGGAGGGGAGTGAGAGTGTCCCAGGTAGAAGGATCAGCATGTATAATGGCTCATTTGGGAGAGAGAGTAAAAATAAAAGCAGGCTTGTGGCTGAAGCATCCTTAGTGAGGAGAGAGTGGAAGAGATGAAGTCAGAGAAGGAGCAGGGGCCAAGCCTGCGGGCCTTGTAGGCCCAGGTGAGAAGTTGGCATTTCTCTTAGATGGATGGGAACCCACCTAAGCAGGGAAGTCACAGGACAGAACTGAATTCAAGCTCATCCTTCTGGCTGCTGAGTGAAGGATAAACAGACAGAAGAAAGGTAGAGGGGAGCAGTGAGTCAGCAGGGAGGCTGGGGATTGAACCAGCCCCCTTACCTGTAGCTGCTACTACATCCCCAGGCCCTGCTCCACTCCGCCCAGCCTAGAGGCTGTGATGGCTAGCAGCCATAGAGTCAGGTGCCTGTATTTTCCATATAGTCACAGCAAGCTCAACAGGCCTGGATTCCTGTCCCAGCTCTGCTTCTCAGGGTACATTACCTTAGCCTCTCTGAGCCTTAATGTCCCCATCATTAACGTAGGGCCAGAGGGAGTTCTTCTAAGGGCTGCTGTGAAAACAAATTATCTGAGACAATCAGGGCAAAAACCTGCCATGGGGGGTTGGGCACACTGATGCTCATTCCAAGCACCAGTTGCTGAGGAGCTGGGACCAACACCCTTTAGGGTGTGGCCTGGAACGCTGTGGATGCACCAAAGCCAGCAATCACTATAGTCCGTGGGGAAGGAGCCCTGGACAATGTTCTTGGAGGCTTTGTGGGCTAAGGTTGCAAAGTCCCAGCTCTGCCAGGCAGCCAGCCTCCTCCCTGTCTGAGTATAGCTGTCCCTCCTGGGTGGGGGAGGTCCTGGAAGCATGGGAGGTTTGGGTCTTGAACCCCTGGGTGAGGACATTCCCATTTATCCTCAATGTCTGCAGACCTCTCCTTGAGGTATCTGCTGGGCAAGTTGTGGCCTGTGCCTCCCTAGCCCCATAAATCTCCCCAGATCCCACCCAAACCCAAGCTCAGTCATCCTGGCTCCTCAGGCCTGGAGCTGCTGCCTTGCGACTTTGGGGGACATGGGGGGGTGGTTCTTCCAGGCAAACCATCTCCCAGCTGGCCGGCCTGCCAGGGGCCTGCATCACTGTCAGCTCCAAACAAGGCCGCTGCTGCGGCTGTGACGTGTGGAGGCCTTTCCTCCGCAGGCAGGCAGCCGCGTGGGCAACAGATGTCTCTGCTCCCTGCCGCCTGTGGCCGTCAGCCGCCGCCACTGAGCCTGTCAGCGGCCTCACGCCCAGGGTGCCTGGCCCACCGGCTAGCCTAGCGCCCCCACCAGCCCACCTCTGTGGACACACAGCATGACATACACAGGCAGACACAGNTAGCGCCCCCACCAGCCCACCTCTGTGGACACACAGCATGACATACACAGACAGACACAGATGCGCGCGCACACACACACACACACACACACACACACACACACACACACACACACACACCCCCAGCAGGGCTCCCTCAGGAAAGTGAGAGATGAAAGGCTCGGGATGTGTTGAAGGCCTATCTCATTCAGCCCCAGGGACCTGGTGGTGTGGGGTGAGGGCAGATGTGGGAAGCCTCCCAGGACAGCTGGGCCTGCCTGTCACCGTAGCCCCCACAAATGGGATTCCATGATTCCACGGTCCACTGGGTGCCCACCCCCCTCCCAAGAACTGGAAAGAAGTGTCTGAATGTCCAGCCAGCTTGGTCCAGCCCCCATGGTGAGAGGTGGCAGTCGGGTGGGGGAAGGTGGTTCTCAGTTCCCCTGACACAGGCCCCCCGAAAGGCCAAAACAGCTGTGCGGGAGCAAGGGATGGCTCTCAGATGTTCTCAGATGCCCTCCTCTCTTCCCTCCAGACTGGGAGCCCCCAAGGGCAGGGCCTGGGTTCTCTCCTCTTCTGTCCCCCAGGGACTGAGTGTGAGTCCCCTATTCTGGCCCTTCAAACTATGGTACCCCAAGGCTGGGCCAGGATCCCATCTCCCCCAGAATGGGCACCCCCTCTGACAGGGCCTGAATCCTCTCTGCTTCTCTGTCCTCAGATTAGCTATACAGCCCAAGGTTGTGCCCCCCTCCCTTCCTCCTCTGTCCTAAGCCTGGGGCAGTGCATGGTCCTGGAATCTCGAGGAACTGGGCTGAGGCTATCCTGGTCCCTGGCCTTGTGGGGAGAGGTCTCACAAGCTCACAGTCAAGTCTCTCCTTCCCCTGGAAAGCAAGATTTCTCCTGGTTACTTCCCCTTAGGTCGACTGAGGTCACTCATGAGAGCCTGACCAAAACTAGTGTGGGGAAGTGGATGGATCTGTCTCTTTTCAGATTCAGAGAGGACCCCAGCTCTTCTGGCAAGGTCCTTTGATAAGGGGAGGGGACTTTCAAATCATCATGCTCCAAATCTTCAGGTTGGGTTCAGTCTAAGCAGCGTTTCTGAGCTTCTGTAGATCTGTCCAAACCCCTGGCCCATGACTGCGGTCCTTCCTTGGCCTGCAGTGAGTCCCCCAAATGAGGCCAGCAGGAAGGCTGGCGTGTGAATTCTTGGGGTGTTCCCCCAAGGGACAGAGCAGGCAGGCCCAGCAGAAGGGAGGAAAAGGGGTTAGGGCGACACTGCCCAGCCTGGAAGTCTCCTCTACATTGTCTGGGTCACCCAGCCTTCGAGCCTCAGGAACGTGGGGGATCCGGGTCCCGGGTGGATCGGGAGGACCGAGTCTCGGATCCAGGACCTCCCCGCGGCCCCGTGGCCACCGGACTCACCCGAGAGATGGTGAGGGGCGCGCTGAAGTCCCGGCCGCCCACCAGGCGGAAGCCCCAGGGCGAAGGGCCGCGCAGGGTCACGGA